TCCCAGTCAATGACCGTTCGAGGATCCATATCACCAGGGTCATCTTTCAGCCACTTTCGTAAGAAGAAGCGTTTGACACTTTCCTCGGCTGAGAAAATGGCTACAGGAATGGCTCGCTCAGTAACAGGAGTGTTCCTTGGCCTCGAAGAAATGATATACTTGCAGTTCAAGCCCTTATCTTTGACCATTTGTTCTCCCAAGAATTCAGCGAGGCGTCGAGCGGTTGTGATAGATGTCGACTTCTGGTTCCCATATTCCTCGAGCGTCTTGGTCATGCTTCTGTTCTCAGAAATGAGGTCAATCAGTTCCTCATCGGCCAGAGTCGCACCATGCTCGTACAGCACGTCTAACCACCGATCAGCCACTTTGGCTACTGCGGCGTAAGTCTCGGTAAGCGTAGACCCTTCTAAGAAGAAGCGGAAAATCTGGGTCTGGAAAATCTTGATGAGCTTCAGCTCTCCTCGACGCTTGACCTCAAAACCCTTCAGTTCCGCCAGAGACCCGTCATGATTGAAAACAGCATAACGTTTCTTCAAGTTCTTATCTTCCTCCTTGGAAGTGGGCAGAATCATCGCCTTGTAAGGCCCATCAACCTCGAAGAAGATAGAGTTGTCACTGTGGGTCTCATATCTGAATGAAGCTGGATCGACAAGAGTCTGATACTGGTGGTTGGTGTAGCTTCCGTGCACAAGGTGGTTGAGCATAACACAGGGATAGGAGATACCGAGCTTTTTGCCGTTCTTTAGAGTGAAGGTGAAGTTCTCGGGAAACGAACCAGGAAGCATACACCAGATACCGTCAGTATCGAGCTCAAGAGGGCGACCGATACGTTCAACCAGCTCTCGTGCCATCTGAATAATGCGAGCTCCGGTCAAACATGTCACGCCAGCCATTTCCATGGAATACCATCGAGAACCCTTTCTCATCACATAACCGTAGAAACTGTTTAGAATGACTTTGTGGGCAAGCTGCAGGGAGTCATACAAGATAATCATCTTCTTCGCCTCATCAATTTCTGCAGCCGATGCACCAGACGATTTCAGGGCCTCAGTCTTGCCTTTCCAGACCTTCTGCTTCCCCTTAAAGTCATATCTTCGATCACGAAAACTGCGAACAGTGTCGACATAGAACGGATTCTCCCGCTGACAAATGATAGCCTCTCTGACTATTGTTTTGCTATCGTGGATCTTGTGATAGATCTTCTTACTGTAATCCTGTAGTCTCTTTTTGACGATACCGGCTTGCTCTTCAATACTCAAGTCACCAAACATCCTCATTGGGCTATTTTTATACCTTCCGGGGAACTTCTCGTTCGAAACTGCATGGCGAATCATGTTGTACTCGTCGCGTTTTGCAGGAAGAAATTCACCCCTCCAAGCCCATGGCATTCGCCTATCGCAAGTCTTGCCGGGCCGGTTGAAATCACAAGCGGCACAGTTGGACTCTTCAATCATGGAGTCTGGTTGCAGCCGGTTCGTGATCATGATGTTCGGATACATGGAAGCGACATCCAAATGGTAAATGAAAGGAACCTCATCCCTATGCGGCTTCTCTTTGAGGCCCATCAACTTGTCAGAAATCTGTTTCTTGACCTCGTCGTAATTGGTGACATCGTCCATTGACTTCTTCTCTTCGACCTCAATGCTGAATTTCAAAGCCGCATCAAGATCACGGAGAAGTTCATCCACAGCAGCCGGGTCTACCTTGAAGGTGACTGGTATGTCGCTTCGGAAAACACCAGCCTCAATACTTTCGACGTGCCCTCCAACATAAGTCTCCGACTCGAGCAGATGGCCTTCATAGAAAGCTTCTGGAGGGTCTTTATGCTTGTTGGGTAGGACGATATTGCCCTGGTATGCTTGCACCATCAGAAGCATTTCGCAAAGCGTTCCAGTTCCCTTCCTCAGAGTGTCGTCTGGATTCAAAGGCAGAATTGTGCAAAGGGAGAAGATGAAAGGGTGAACATATTTCATATACAAGTAGTATGTTGCCACGGCATCGGACACGGAGTATTCCGCCAAAGTCTGGGGACGCTCACTGGCGTACGGAGTCATCAGCTCTGGATCGAGCTCGTCAGGATCGTATCCAAGCTTCGCGACAGTGACGGCTTTCAAGCCACGACTTCCTTGAGGAAGATAACTGTCACGATTGACCCAAGCGAAGCAATCCATATGCACACAGTGGTCGGCCTGGTAGATATCCTCGCTGTTCTTCCGGAAGCCAATCTCTTTGTACATATCGATGCCCAACACGCTAGCTCGTGCCTCAACGAAGGGCCAGTCGAAGAAGTCACCGTTGTATGTGGCAATGACCGTCGGCTTCGCCTCTTTGATATGCTCAAAAAACCGTTCGATGACGCTCCGTTCGTCTGGCTCATTGAAGATCATGAATGGCCCGTTGTACTCGGCTTTTGGCGTGTATTCGAAGTCGTTGATGTCCTCAGACACAATTTCTCGATTTGTGATAAGAAAACCTTGGCCATCAATCATATAAGATATCATCATGATCTGGTCAATCACGGAATCCGGGAATTTGAGAGGTAATTTAGTCGTTTCGATATCGAACGCGAGAATGACAGGATCGGCACGAGTGAGTCGCTCTTCTATACAGCTCAGTGAGATAACTCCGTGTTTCGACTCGACTGTGTACCATTTTCCTATGCGAATGTCTACGAAACAATTAGCCGAGCGACCTTGAAGGAGCAGAAGCGACCTACCTTTATCGATAGAAACTCGGACATGGTAAGGGACATCATATTCCCTAATATCAACAATAAAGTCGCTCGCGTTCATAGTGGCATTAGATCGTGACTCGTTAATTAGTTCATCATCAAAGAGGTCAAAGCCAGCGTTGCCGCTTCAATAACTCAGTCAGTTTCAAGGGCCATAGAATCCATGGGTCCCAGACTATACCTTGACATCTCCACATAAGCATCCATCGCTGTCGCATTCTTCTTGTTCTTTTCCGCCAGAGGCAAGATGGTCCTTCGTACTTCCAGCAAGTGGCTGACATTGGCGAAGCTTAGTTGAAGATAGTTCCGGCGATGCCCAAGTAAATGATTCGGCAACGAAAGGTCCTCCTTCTCCACGCGCGTCACCTTCTTGACGAGCCCTTCAAACATTCTGCGACACCACTCCTCAACCTCCGCTTCGTGGCCTTTCTTCACGGCGATCAAGAAATAGGGGTCGTATTCGACTGTCGCCTTGAAGCTGGTGCCGCCATCCTCGAGGAAGTAGTAATCGACACCGGCGCGTCCACCGGGGACATTCGGATCCTGAATCGATGTGCTGTGCATGTTGATGAGCCATCCCACTCGCTTCTCACCGGCCTCGAAGCGCGGAAAGCCCAAGGACTCGTCAATGCTGTTCGCCAGCCGGATGGCCTCGAATTTCTCATCTTGAGACGTAGCTTCTGTCGATCTGAGGGACGCGAACTCGACGGTCTTCGTACGTCTCGGGTTAAACGAAGCAGCCCCAGATCGGAACTTGTTGCCGAATTTGCTAGGTTTTCTTGAAGGCATTGCGACGACGTGCCCACCGGCCGGGCCTGAGGATCACTGCAAGATGCGGAGATGATGTCGATAGAACATGGAAAAAAGATAATAAGAGGTTGATGTTTCAAGAAGGGAAAGGGTGGCACATAATTTCGCAGCTTCGCTAGAGTGGTTATTGTTAGTAGGAGAATAATTCAAGACTGGCTGTAAAGTTGAGTATCTCGATTGCACTTGAATCGACCCGATCCCCACTGTATGCTGCGGAGCCCACCAGAGTAAATTAGATTTCGACCTGCGCCATTCCAACGCGTTCGCGTTTCTACTTTACGCGTGCCATTGGCCGATCGCCTTGTCACGGGGAAATTATCCGCTTTTGTTGTACCGCCGGGCAGGTTCTCGGATCGCGGAATCGTGCGAATGTCCGCGGCCTTATTGTTTCTCTGCGAAGAAGTTCCGCCCGCATTACCGTAAAGGTGATTGCTGCTGCTGCTGCTGCTGCTGCAACTGAGTTCAAACAAAATAACATCATGGCTGACGATACGCGGGGCTCCACAACCATTGCTCCGGAGCAAAGGGAGCCGGAATCGCAAAATACTGCATCGGATTTCACATCTCAAAAGAAGCTGAAGCATGAGATACCTCAATCGCAAGTCGGAAAACTTTGGGACGCATTTGGAAACCCTGAAGAGCCTGTCAACATGCTTCCTTCTGCTGGGATCAAGTCCGGAAAGAAGCATGCCGACATCACGGTTACCGAAGCTATGAAGTCAATGTCGTTGGAGAATGCTACGTCTTTCTACAAAGCACCCTGTGCTCGGGATTCGTTGCTTATCGGAATCGGCGCCGGGTTCGGTATAGGTGGGGTGAGGGGTGTTATTGGAGGTAAGTTAATCACACCAGCTCGCCCTAACTAGTCATTCTTTGAACAGTGGCTTATTGTTTCCTCATATCAGGGCTGCCCAGGATTTGGACTGCCTGTAACTGGGCCGTGGGCGCATTTGCCATTACCGCCCTCGCAACACATGAATTTTGCCAGCGACGTCGAGTACAGGAATTGGACGGCATGAAACAGGCTGTGGAGCTGATGAAGGAGCTCAAACTCAAGAAGCAGCGCGAGAAGGAGCAGAAGGAAAAGGAAGCCGCGCGCCTGGCGGAAGAAGAGAGGCAACGGAAGAGTTGGACCAACCCTTCCAACTACAAGTTCTGGTAGAGTCAATTGCACCTTGCGCGGAGTCTTGGAGTATATCTTCAGGAAATCATTGTATATTATTATATGTCATGTGGTATGCATGTCAGGTACATACATATTGTTCTATTCTGAGCTCCATCCATGTCCTCGTGTTCGCTTCGGCTATTTTAGTGCCAACGCATCGAGCAGTGACCTCATAATCAGTCATCTTTCCGTGCAAGATCGTTAGGTACAGGTGTAGCAGTAGCCTTCAAATAAACTGCTAGATTGTTTGAGAATCGCACTCAATTGCCTCCGTGGGCTTGGTTGCCTATATCATCACATGTTGAACTTGACCCTCTTCTGTATGGCACCACTTTGAATGCTTCGGATTTTATCCAAATCGGCACCATCGCGTCGCTCTCGTCGCTTTTCTCGTGCCTCTCTTGCTTCCCGGTTTTTCCATTCTGCGACTTGTTTCTGCCTCTTTTGCGACCTGGCCCATGCGATGGCCGCAGTAGGCTTAAAACCGATGCCATTTATCCCGTAGCCATCATCACTCGGGTCTGAAGGGTTGTGTCCAGTGATCTCCGAGTCATGCCATGTAAGCGGATTTTCAAGCGCATCGCCGGTGAGCGGTGGTGAGCTTCCCGCGCTGCGAATCTTAGATGTGACCGATGGGTTCTTCTTCTTGCGGGGACTCGGGATTGACTGCCTTTTTCTAGGCGATGCGGAGATGCCAGTATTGGGATTATCAGACTGGGGATGGCATGTGTTTTCCGTCGACTCGTCTAGATTGGGCTGATCTTCTGCGTGAGAGCCAGTTTCGGGCATTTTGCAAGGCCCAAAGATAGAGTCGTATAGAACAGGCCAGCATCCCGACGGCACCGAATGCGTGACAGCGCCCTGATCTAACCCATAAGGAGTTGGGGGAGTCGATAGACGGTCTCCACGGATGGCCAGTTCTCCTAGGCGACCGGCCACTACCGCTCGAGGACTGTACCTTCCCAAGTCTTCAGTTTCTCGAAGTCTGGCTTCCTGAAGGCTGAGTATCGAGACAGTAGATGTGGGTGACGATGGACTGTACTGGTCGGTATCCTCTGACGATGCCCTCTTGCGCTTAGGGGAGTTGAAGGGCATCGTCGTCAAGCTCGAAGACATCATCGCGGGGCGAAATCTGCAAGCGGATGTGGGGGCATCACAGCGCCCGAGCGCCAGTAGTTTGGGTTGGAAGAATTACCCAGCAATTTGTAGGCTTCCGGCAAGACGTTGGTCAGCGTTTTGATGGATCAATATCAGAGACAGTAGAAGAAGCCATCATGGCGAAGAAGCTGCGGGCGATTTGTTGTCATGATAGGAAGAAAGGGGGAGGGGGGCTAGAGTACAACAGGGTTGGATTATCCTTGGAGGTGAGGTGAAGTGAGGGGGTTCGGCACTGCTTGGTTGGCCTGGATTATACCAGGCGGTCCCTCCGACAGACAATGAATAAGCAATGTCTGACGGAGCAAACGTCAACGTGCAGCTAGTCTAGCAGTCAATCAATCAATCAGTCATGGATGCCTGTTCAAACAACAAAGCACTTGATTTGTGTGGCGTGAAGGAGCGAGGAAAGTATATGAAAATCCCGATTTAGATTTGCAGAACTACAAGGAAATTTTAGAACGACACAGGCCTCAATCGAATAATTTACAAATACCCAGCCCGTCACGTCGTGAAGGAGAAAACAGAACATAGATGGCAAGAATAAATCAACCCGACAACGCCTCGACAATAATGACGCCCTCCTGTCCCAAGACTTGGTGGTGCTTCTAGACCTTCTTCTTCTTTTTGGACGGCTCAGCATCGCTGTCGTGCTTCCGCTTCTTCTTCTCTGACTCGCCCTCGCCAACGTCTGACTTGCGCTTCTTCTTCTTGTCCTCCTTCTCACCCTTCTCCTTCTTCTCCTTCTTTTCCTTCTTGTCCTTCTTCTCCTTCTTCTCCTTCTTGGCCTTCTTGTCTTCCTTGTCGGACTCAGCATCCTTCATCTCATCGTCGCTCTGCTCAGCGTCGATGTCCATATCAGCAAGGAGAGCATCCATGGCGTTTTTCTGCACGTTATGTCAGTATATGGCTATTTTCTATGGAAGTAGCAACGTCTATATACGTACCATGGCAACTTCGTTCTTGGTAGGTGCGGCGCCAGTAGCGTAGAACTCCAGGCGCTCCTCAACCTGGGCCTTCAGGGCCTCTCCAAACTTGGTGTTGGGCTCCTCGGAGAAATTGTCGATTCTGGAGGCGATGGAGCACTTGTTGGCAAGGAAGCGCGAGATGCGACCCTTGTTCTTGGGACCGGCCCGGCCAATGAAGGACGAGTGGTACAGGAGACCGTACTTGGGGGTGTTACCCTTGGTCTTCAAGGCTCTGAAGAGAGCCTTCTCGGCACCGAGAATCTGCACAGTAGAGGCGGGGTACTTGGAGAGGTTGGTCAAGCTTCCGGCGTGGGAGATGAGGCGAGCACCAACGATCTCGCCAATCAGAGCAGCAAGGTTAGGAGCAACAACGCTCATCTTAGAAACCAAGTAGGCGTGGAGAGACTTGCGATACTTCGACAAGCTGACAACACGCTGAGCGAAAGAGATCACGTTCTCCATATCAGTCTCAGAGATCTCCTGACCCATACTGTGCTTAGCAGCATCGATGACGCTCTGGGCAACACCCTCATCATCCTCGACGAGGGCGGCAAGATCGTGCAGCTTGTCATCAGTCAGATCCTTCTTATCCTTGACGAACAAGGCAACCTGAGCGTAGCGCTGGTTGTCCGAGACAATCTTGATAAGTTCAGGGAAGTGCCAAGAGTACCACTCGCGCACTCTCATCGAGAAAGTGTTGATGGCCTTGTCGAGTTGGTCGAGAATAGCAATGGCCTGGATGATGTGGTTGTCGTCGCGCTGAACGGAGAACTTAACCTTGGCACGGGAGTAGGCGTGACCGAGACCAAGCTGGGCAGTGTCGATATCACCCTCACGAAGTTGCTTGAGCAGCTTAGTGGCGTGCAGTCTAATTCCACGAAGCATATCCTGAACAACCTCGCTGGTCTCGCCGGTTTCGCAGTCGACGAAGTCAAAGGCCGACTTAATGCTTCCAGCAAGAGCCTTGTCCAACAGACCCAGAACGACCTTCTTCTTCTTGTTGGGCTTGGGAAGGTTCAATTCGAGGAAAGAGACGAGCGTATCCGAGGCGACACCTTCCGAGATGTCGTTGATTTCACTGAGGGCCTGCTTGTTGTTCCTGGACTTGGTCAGTATTCTAGCGGGAAAAAAAGGCGAAAAATCCCCCTCAAAGCCCGATTGACGTACTCAAAAGGCAGGAAACTGGCCAGCTCAACCATCTTTCCGAACTTAGCAAGGTCATCAACGCCTTCCTGAACCTCCTTCAAACGGTTGCCGACACTGTCACCCTGGTGGGCGACCTTGAAGAGAGAGTAGCCGATAGGGCCCTCCCAGAGAAGATAGTCGGCCATAGTGAAATTGAGATCAAGGCCCAAAAAAAATGTAAGAAAAGGTCCTTCACGTGCGAGCGACTGAGCCCGCTTCTCAATTTCCCAGGAATTTGCGACCGTAGACCGGGGCGTGGAGCGACGTGGAGTTGAAGAAAAGCCTAGGAGGGTAGATTTGCAGAGTCGAGCCGTCGGAGCTCTTTTTTTTCGCAGCGGCGCTAGTGCGAACACAGAATGTGGGCTTTTTGCCAAAACCAGAGGCTCACCGCATTCACGGCAAACACCACCGCTAAGGTTTCTGGCAGTGCGGGCATCCTCTATCGGGCCTATAGCAACAGCAAGCTGGTTTAATCTCAAGTCCTTTCGTTGGGTCCTTGTTGCTTGTCATTCAATCCCTCTGCAGAAATGTCTGCGACGCAATTACTCAACCCCAAGGCCGAGTCGAGGGTATGAAATCCATCCCCCCCCCTCCTCACAATAGCCCCTCAGTGGCCTAGCAGAGACTAACGGCTCACAGCGGAGAGCGGAGGCTTTGAAAGTGAACATTAGCGCTGGTGAGGGTCTCCAGGATGTCTTGAAGTCTAATCTTGGTCCCTCTGGAACGTTGAAGATGTATGTTTGGTGTCCCTGATAACTTCCCAACTTCTTAATTAGCTAACAAATCATAGGTTGGTGGACGGTGCAGGCGGAGTATGATTTATTTCCTCTCAACCGGTCGAGCGAAGGTCTAACAACAGAGTCTCAATCAGATCAAATTAACTAAAGATGGCAACGTTCTTCTCCGTGAGATGGTAAGTCTATCTTGGCCAGCGCTTTCTTCCATCGACTAGAGACTAATTTCAATAGCAAATTCAAAACCCCACGGCTGTAAGTTACCTTTCCGGTCATATATCGAAAGCCCCTTTCTAATTGCCTCGAAGGTTATGATCGCTCGTGCTGCGACAGCTCAAGATGATATTACTGGCGACGGAACGACGTCCGTTGTCCTGTCGGTTGGAGAGCTCTTGAAGCAGGCAGATCGTTACATCTCCGAGGGTCTGCACCCTAGAGTCATCACGGATGGTTATGAGATTGCAAAGAACGAGACTCTCAAGGTATGCTATCTTAGAGAAATTTCTACATTTTCGGCATACTGAAGTATGATGGCATATAACTAGTTCCTCGATCAGTTTAAGATCGAGCGAGCCATCGACCGCGAACTCCTACTGTCCGTCGCCCGGACGTCCCTCAGCACAAAATTGAACAGCGCCCTCGCTGAGAAGCTCACCCCCGATATTGTCGATGCCGTCCTCGCTATCCACAGAGCTCCTGAGAAGCCCGATTTGCACATGGTTGAGATTATGACGATGCAACACCGCACTTCTTCCGATACCAAGCTCATCCGTGGTCTCGCTCTTGACCACGGCGCCAGACATCCCGATATGCCTAAGCGTGTGGAGAATGCTTTCATCTTGACACTGAACGTCAGCTTGGAGTACGAGAAATCTGAAATCAACTCCGGTTTCTACTACTCTTCTGCTGAGCAAAGAGACAAGTTGGTGGAGAGTGAGCGCAAGTTTGTGGATGCCAAGCTGCAGAAAATCGTGGAGCTCAAGAAGCTTGTTTGCGGCAACGATCCTAAGAAGAGCTTCGTTGTGATCAACCAGAAGGGAATCGACCCCCTGAGTTTGGATGTCCTTGTCAAGAACGGAATCTTGGCTCTCCGGAGAGCTAAGCGCAGAAACATGGAGCGTCTCCAGCTTATTTGCGGTGGTGTCGCACAGAACAGCGTGGAGGATATGACCCCCGATGTTCTCGGCTGGGCTGGTCTTGTCTATGAGCACCAGCTTGGTGAGGAGAAGTACACTTTCGTCGAGGAAGTCAAGGATCCTAAGTCCGTGACTATCCTCATCAAGGGCCCCAACCAGCACACCATTGCGCAAGTGAAGGACGCTGTTCGTGACGGTCTGCGCTCCGTTTACAACACCATCGTCGATGGTTGTGTCGTTCCCGGTGCCGGTGCGTTCCAAGTGGCCTGCGCCGGCCACCTGTCGTCCGACGCCTTCAAGAAGACTGTTAAGGGTAAGGCCAAATGGGGTGTCCAGGCTTTCGCCGATGCACTTTTGATCATTCCCAAGACTCTTGCAGCCAACTCGGGCCACGATATCCAGGACTCTCTGGCGATGCTTCAAGACGAGCTCGCCAACGGCAACAACGCCGGTCTGGACTTGACCACCGGCGAGCCGATGGATCCTGTGCAAGAGGGTGTTTTTGACTCTTTCCGTGTGTTGCGTAATTGCATTGCCTCCAGCACGGGCATTGCCTCGAACCTTCTACTTTGCGATGAGTTGCTCAAGGCCCGTCAAATGAGCAGACAGTCAGGACCTGGTGGTATGGACGAGTAATGTGGCTTCTACAGACAAGGCATATCATGTAAAGCACTTCTGTGAATTTCTTCATCGGTTTGCAGGTTAGAAAAATACTCTACGTCGAAAGTAGGCTCAAAATTGGCCATACTAATGCATCTTTGGCACATCCTAATTGAATCGAATATAATCCACAGAGCTCGCACTCCGCCAGAAATTAGCACCGGTTTACTGGCCTAAGCTACCATAATTTGGTTCGATATGTGCTCCTGGAGGTTTTCTGAGCTGTCCTCGGCCGCGGCATTGTTCTCAGGACCTTCGCAAGGTTTAGGATTCATATACACGCCAGTCTTGCTCTGCGGAGTTATTAAATCGGGATCCAATCGTACATGGCGTTTTCATACGGTCAGTAGCGTATGTAGATAGTAGTAATACAAAGGGCGCTGTTCCACAGACGCGCATACAGAAAGGAGCATAGCTGCAAGAGAGACTATCCATCGCCGCTTTCATTACTGTCCCCATTGCTCTCTTCGTCCGAATCGGTCTGAGCCCATTTACCATGAAACCCCTCATCTTTAACCGGGTCCCACAGGGCCATATGATGAGACTTGGCCCATTCGAGGACGGTTGTCTTTCGTATTGTTACAATTGAGTCACCCCCAGCGCTAGTCGCTCCAGATGAATCCTTTGACTTCCGCTTCTTGGCCGGCGTGGCCGGCTGAACTACTCCCAGACCCCTGAGAGCTGTGATGACGTCCTCGGTCAACATGCCCGTTGCCAGACCAATGTCCTGCACTGTCATGAGCTCATGGGCGGATCTCTTTTTCGAGCCCTTAGGGGACTTCGACTTCTGTGGCACAGCAGCTTCCTCTGCGTCCTCGGCCTTCCAACCATGCAAGAGCAAGTGTCTGGCCACACGCTCCTCCCAGAAGCGCGCGTAACTCTTGCGACCCATTTCGCTCAATGGTCGCTCCGGCCCGCCGATCAACCCACTGTCGCGCTCCCAGGCACTAATCTTATAACTGACCCCCATCAACAATTTCCCAAGCTGCTTGTGCTGGTACGGGGGGAAGACCAGGATACAGGCGAGATTGTTGGCATCCCAGGAGAGCTTTTCCTTCGAGAAGAATCCCAGCACATGGTAGAAATCGGGGTCGGCGGGGTCGGTGAAAACGAGGAGGTAGTAGAAGAAGGACACGACATCGAAGAAGACCGACTTGTGATCAAGAAACAGTTTCGCAAACAGGGAGAGGTTCTGCGCGTAGAGCTTGTGATGTTCGCCGTCCAACTCCCAGACCGAGTAGCCTCCCTGCTCGTAGACCTTGACCCCGGGCGGTGATTTCCGGTGTGGGCAAAGGCGCGTGTGTTTCGCGTAGGCGTGCTCGTCGCACGAGTAACGGAAGCACCAGCGACAGACGTACAACCTGTCTGTATCCTTACTAACTAAGTCCTCCGGATATATGGACTGGTACCAGGTCTGGAAAAGGAGATCACCGAGTACGACGTGCTTCACATTACGTTCGGTTGTGGAGGACGGCTCAGCACGCGTCGCGGGATCGTCGGCGGCCATTGAAGACAGGCAAATCCAGCACGAGGAGGTGCACTAGGCTTCAGAATTGCGATTGAGGAGGGAGCGGAGGGCTTGAGATGTTGGAGGAAAGAATTAGGAAGAATCCTTCTATGCCGGTGAGAATGTGATGTGAACGTGCTTCCGTGTGTTGGCCATTGGAATGGGTGTTGGAGTGTAGGAGGTGTGTTGTCGAATGTACTCCCTGATCGGGATCGCTAGGTATGGATTGATTAGCCTGAATAGGATTCAATTCCTATTGAACCAACACACGTAGTAGGGTATTCTGTCTTGACTGTCCGTTTTATTTCGCCTTTTGTTCAGAATAATCGTCTGAGATGTTTCCGACTCGATCCATTTCTTTGTAGTGGTAATGGCATATAGAAGATACTAACTATAGCTAATGTAGAATGTACTAATTCGCAGCCGCAATGATGAACGGGTCATTTGACGGGCCTCCCCCGGGCCAATCAGCAGACCTCAAAGGCGGGGGATGCTTTGGGAACTGGAAAATGAACGGAGCAGCTTCTCCAATGGTTGATTGACTGATTGAACCTCTGATTTTACTTTGACCGTTTGACTGTTTGACTGTGTGAGACTGAGAACTGAGGAAGAGGACCCGGCCAACCTTGAAGTGTTCCCCCCCTCCTCCCTCATCCTCATTGGAGACTGTCTGATCGACCTTCTTCACATCATCCCTATTGCCCCTCCCCCATACCCTCGAGTCTGTCTCCAATATATCGCTGCCTGGATCCTGCTTGCCTTGCTTAATCGCTCGTGTTTAGTTGTACTGTCGATGATTGCTCTCTTTCACGGAAACTCTTTTGTTTGGACCGAAGGCAAATCCAAGCTGCCCAGTAGATTACATACGACGACTGACCTGACTTGGTACAACCACCAACACCACCACTGCTACTACTAATCACCCGCTCATAGGCAGCAGCAATAGTGACGACTATAGGCTTTCTGTGTATTGATTTCCTTTGCCTCCGCAACTTTCCCTCCTTATCACCTTTCCAGGGTCTCTATCTCTTTATCTACAAATAGTCACTCTGTCAGTTCTCGACATTGACATTTTGCATCTACCCGCTCGCTGCCTATCCCGTGCGGTCCACTCTTCCTCGGATATCGATATCGCTCCTTTGCGACCTACAAACTACGATCATCTATCGTCTCTGATTGAAACCTGCTCTTCTGGCGGCTTTGGGACGGAGTCTCTCTCTCCCGCGACCGCCCGCTAGCTTCAGAGATGTTGAAGCCTTTCCAAATCAGAGATCTCCACCGGTCCTCACCATCGTCATCTCCAAATGAGGCCGCAGATCTAGACCGCCCCCTGTCTCCAACGAGACGCCGGGGTATCGTGCAGCTGTCGGCGTCTCAATATGATAATCTATCTTCCAGCCATCCGCGAGCCCGCTTGACGTATCTTGACGAAGATGATGGGGAGCTTATCACGGTACGAGCTCCAATCCTTGACCGTTGATCTGAGTACTGACATGTTGTATAATGGTAGGTCGGTTCTTCTCTTGAGCTCTCACAGCGACTTGAGGAACCCGTTGATGCAGAACTCGATCCTATCACAGCCGCCCAACCGGCCCTCGAACCTATGCATATTTTTGACATTCGACGGTCAAACTCAGTCACGGAGCTGTGGAAGAAATTCGAATGCAAGCAGGAAACACGGGAGACAAAGGATATGAATGATGCGACAACCGAGTTCACACCTGCAGAACCCTCCGCATCAACCACCCACCAGACAGCAGAAGGCTCAGATTCTCCACAGAGAGATGCTCACGCAGCTGATATCGAGGAGTCCGAATCGCTCCTGGCTGCATTCGAGGCTGAGATGGCCAAGTTTCTCAGTGCTTCTCGGCCTGCAACTGGTCCTACACCCCCCGCAGAATCCTTCTCCTCCTCCTCGTCGCAGTCAAACTCAGAGTCAAGATCGGCCAGGCCTCAGAATGCAGCCGAAGCATTTACTCACGCAATGCATAGTTTGATTGACGGGGCTGAGTTGCTCAGCTCTGGGTTAATGTCAAGATTGCCTGAGATTGAGAGACAACTGCAAAACGCTCAGAGGGCCATACCTGAAAATGTTGGGGCCTCCGTGCAGGGAGCTCTTGCAGCCGTAGAAGCTCAGCTCAGACAAGTGACTAATTCCCTAAATAACTCTCCAGCAGTGACTGCACAGGCGGCCCACATATTAGAGGGCGAGCTTCCCACGGCCACGAGCACAGTGGAAAGCCTGCGCTCCATGGCGTCCGAACTTGGCAACGTTGGCCACACCTTGTTTGAGGCATTCGAGACAGAGCTTGGCTGCAATCGGACCAGGCCACATGAGCAATCTTCTGCTACATCCACAGAGCACCGGAGCTCGGATGATCTGGTGTCAGACAGGAATCCCGAATTCACGCAAGCCCGTAGCACGGAGACCAGTCTTGAAACAACAGACTCAACTAAGGGCCTCGAAACAGAGAAATCAACTACGAAAGAGGAAAACGAGGCAAAGGATGCCGGGTTGCAGGAAATTGCGGCTCAGCCTAGGATGTCTAGCAATCTCGACTCCAGTGATCCGATCTCAGAGCCGTCTCGTCGTCAGACTCAACCCATCCGCTTCCCCAATGTCCAGCCTCCTATGCAGCCCATGCATCATTCTCGACGCCGCCCTCACCCTTACCCACCTCCGGCTCCTTATCCTCATCACCATCCACGCGCACCTCCCTTTCCTCCTTTTTTCCATCATCCGCCACCTCCGCACTGGCAACCTCCTCCAGGAGTCCCTCCATCATGGCCATTCTCAACACTACCGGAGCTCCGCAATGGCTACCCCTCTGCACCCCCTCTACCACCACCTCACTTTCATTTGAACCATCATCCTTTAAACTTGCGGTCACACTTACATCGAGGAAGACACCAAGGCCGATACCCAGTCGGGCCCACGACCTTCTCGGATGTGCCGGCTGACAATGATATGGGCTCCACGGATGTCCCTCCCGCCGCTTGTCAACCGCGTGGAGTGCGACCCTCCGAAGAGGGTACCGCATTGTTCATTGGTAATGTAGGCTTTGACGTCAGTGAAAAGATGATTACCGACGTTTTTGCCTCCAAAGGATTTTTGGTTGACGTCCACCTCCCCCAAGAATCTGAAACTGGGAAACATGCTGGATTTGGATACCTACAGTTCCCAACAGTACATGCAGCAAAGGCAGCTTTGGATGCTCTACAGGGAGAACATATTGACGGACATGCCATCAACCTGGAGTTCAGTGACCATTCGCCCATTCTCGGGTTACGACCACAGAAATCTCAGTCGCAACCTGAATCGAATCAGCCAGTGGCCAGTGCTACTTCCCCTTCAAAACGGCCATCAGAGCTTCAGGGTTCCGTGGCGTCACCTCCAAGGCATAGTGTCGACGAGGCTTCCGCGAAGCGCGCGGTGCCCCTGACGGTGGCGGACCTGTGCTCCAGCGATAATCGCAAGCGAGGCGATGTGGTGTCCTCCCTGAATGGCCTGGAAATCTCATCAGATGATGATGCTGATCAGCTCAACATCCTTTATCCATCACTCCTCCCTGAGGGTTCTCCGCAGCCATCAAGGTCGAACAGCATCCCATCAACTTTGTCAGATTTGACTGCAGAGGTCGAGCAGCGTCGCTTCCCACCGATTTCGCAGCTAGAAGCGCAGTTCCGTGCTATGCAATGTTATCAGACCGCGCCGGCTCAGAGTAAAACCCCAGACGACGGCCCCAAAAGTCTGGATGCTGGATTAACATCTTCATCGTCGTCGTCGACCATTCCGGGTACATTTCCGGAAACCAGCGGCGATGCTGCTAAGCCGGTAGAGATCCCTTCCTCAAGTCACCATGTGCCAGACGAGCTTGAGAGTCAGGTTGGGCCTCGTCGCCATAGTCGACGCTCGAGATCTATGAAGCATCCTCACTCATCCTGGAAGGGTCATGGTGTAGGTTCTGGCCAAGTAGAGCCCGGGCCGTCTCACAATTCCTTTGGCCGCCCAAGGCCAGGCTTTAGTCACCGTGCTAGACATCACCGAGAGCCCGAAGGCTCCTCTAGCCAGCCACAGCTGACTCCAACCATGCGGCAAACCAGCATTGATGCATGCGTGGCTACACTGGTTGATTTGGGTTATGGTGGTGCAAGCGATGGCGGTCTGCAGCGCATCGCAGTGTATGCTGCAGCTGCAGATGCTAATGTGCTTGACGCTATTGACATGATCGAAGAGGAACGGAAAGCCTATGAGCAGCAGGGATCCTCCGTGTGATGATTCATGGTATAGCATTAATTGTTTCTGGCTCGTGCTATTCGATATGACTGCGATTCGCTATGATTGTGCGTTCCGGCTGGACTGAGGATTTGTTTTTTTTTATTGGGACTTCTTGTTCATTCAAGACTGATGATAGCACTCTACTCAGAATTAAAACTAGCAGTTAGGTATTCATTTTTTTAAATGCCTTGTTCAAGCGAACACTAGCAGTAGTTGTAGGCACAGCATATCTATAAGGTAGTCTCTACTCCGTAGCTTGTAGCGTCCGGTCACGGCGGGCGGAGCTGAATCATCATGCCGGGCGGATGCCGCCTTTTTTCTCCGCAACGCGCACCCTGGAGCTTGACTTAGGATCTACTCCGCCAGTGTAGCTACAATTACATTCATTATCTACTCCTGTTCCTCCTTCAAAGATGCGGATCTGGCGTCGGTCATTCGCCACATCTTTTGCGAGGCTCAATTCTAGGCCCGCGACAACGGTCTCAGGCCCTCCGCTTCTCCGGTGCGCGCAAGTCCTCGACAAAAACCGCACAGGACCCAAGAGTCTGGAAGACCAAGAAATCAAATTACAGGGATACATCAATAATGTTCGCAAACACAAGCGCTTTTCCTTTGTAGAATTCGCCGATGGATCAACTGTCGAGGCTCTGCAGGCTATGGTGAGTGCGGCGCAGGCCGCTGGGTATGTTCCCTCTGATCTCTGTTTTCTTATTGAGTCGACAAGTCAATTAATCTCGATTCTATCTTTACAGGCTAACCAAGGGAACAACGCTTGAAATCACAGGAGTGTGGAAGGCATGTCCTCCAGGCAAGTCCCAGACGCATGAGCTGCATGCAACATCAGTACACATTATAGGTGAAACAGATGCCGAGGTAGGCTGACATCCTCTCCAGCAGTACGAAGTCATTAATCCAGGGCAGCTCTGTTGACAAGCTATATGCCAGACCTACCCCATCCAGAAGAAATATCAAAGCGCCGACTTCCTTCGTCAAATCCCTCACCTCCGCATGCGCACTCCCTTCAACTCACTTCTCTCCCGGCTCCGATCCGAAGTCCTATACCAGCTTGGAAATGTATTTCGAAATGCTCCGAATGGAGGATTCGTACAGGTGCAGCCGCCGTTGATCACGTCGTCGGATTGCGAAGGCGCAGGTGAGACGTTCACCGTGTTGCCAAAGATAGCATTGGGGGGAACAGCACCCCCCGCCGAGGGCGAGCACTTCTTCCGCGCGCCCAAATACCTTACTGTCTCGTCCCAGCTACACCTGGAAGCCTACGCGGCCGAGCTAGGTAATGTCTGGACTTTGTCGCCCAGTTTTCGGGCCGAGAAAAGCGACACGCCGCGCCACCTCAGCGAGTTTTACATGTTGGAAGCCGAAGCGAATTACATGCACGATTTAGACTCGTTGACGGATCTCGTCGAATACCTGCTCCGCGACCTCACGCGGCGGCTCTACGACACCCCCGTCGCACAGGAACTCATCTCGTACAAGGGACCTGTGGAGGAAGGCAAGGAGGGCAGCACCAGGCCCGACCTACTCGCACGCTGGCGCGCCCTGTTGGACGGGCCCAAGTGGCGACGCATGACCTACACCGAGGCGATAGAGAAGCTTCAAGCGGCGGTTGCCACGGACGGCGCCTCATTCGAGTACCCGCCCACGTGGACGGGAGGGCTTCAGCTCGAACACGAGAAGTACATTGTAGAAGTGATGAACCACGGTCAGCCGGTCTTCGTAACCGATTACCCGAAGGCCATCAAGCCGTTTTACATGGCACCGTCCAGCGACGGAGACAGCAGCCGCCGTCACGGCGGCGAAACCGTCGCGTGCTTTGACCTCCTCCTACTCGAGGTCAGCGAGGTCGCAGGCGGGTCTCTTCGCGAGCACCGCCTCCCCGAGATCATCCAGAACATGCGTGACCACGGCTTGATCAAGCAGGTTGCTGCCAATGAGGACGGGAAGAGCGACTCCCCAGCGGACGACTCGTCGTCATCCTCCCCAGCCCCAGCCCTCTACCCCCATCTGCTTCCTGGGGAAGACCTGGGCCATCTCCAATGGTACGCCGACCTCCGACGCTGGGGCACGGCGCCGCACGGGGGCTTCGGAATGGGCTTTGACCGGTTCTTGAGCTACTTGGCCGGGGTACCTAGTGTGCGAGACGTGGTAGCGTTCCCTCGCTACTTTGGTCGGGCAGATTGTTAGCCTTTTCCACCTGGGGAAAGAAACTAGCTATTGTATATTCATGTATTTTTATCACCGTGACCTTCCAGGAGCAAAGCGTAATCTCCACACACGCACACATACACCTTTCACCACCGGTAGACACCGACCTACCTATCTTGTTATACCTACCCCAGCACGGGATGGGATGCATGACAAATATAAGCATAAGCAATAAGCACTTGCATGAACTACAAAATCACCCTAACTACAGTACCAGGTAAGACTAACCCAAGAGTAGAGTAGATTTGATTCGATATGCTACAACAACCACCACCACCACCACCACTTGGCATCCTAAAGCACCCATCCCCCGTTCTTGTTTCCCCTCTGCTCCTCCAACCCCCACCCCCAATCCAGTAATTGGTAAGTACTAGGTAGTAGGTAAGGCAGGCAGGTACCGACCTTTCCAAGCCAGTGCGTGGGTACCTACCTAAAGCAACGCCCCATTCCCATCTAGGCAACACTCGACTGCACTGGACTGGACTCAATCAAAGAAAAGACGCGGCGAACTCGGGCAGGATCCAAACTCCCATATAACTTTTACGAACCCCTTCGTTTAGCCCAGTAGTAATCGGGAAAACCCCCCAGCCCAGCCCAGCCACCCAGAATAAAAGACCCCCCGCCACAATGTCTTAGAAGGTTATAGATGTCTGACCTAAGCTAAGCCTCCGAGACCTCCGGTTCAGATACCTTTTTTTTTGGTGGGGGGGAGGGGGTGATAAAGCAAATCCGTGGAGCGATTAAGATCCAAGACATTTGGGGGAATGACTGCGTTAGTCAGTTCGTATAGACGGGATTGAACGCTCTCAAAAGCGCATAGGCATGGGCATGGGCATGGGTATGTTTCTTGTTTCTTGTTCTTTTTCTCGTATTCTGGTCGGGGACCGCGGGGTGTGGAATCATGATGGGAAAACTTACCACGCCACTGGAAGAGGAGGAGGAAGTCTATTTGCGTTGCGAATGGTGGTTTGTTTTTGGGGCTACATTTGGGCGGGGGGGCATTTGTTGGGTTTGTTGTTTGGCATTACGTTTGAAGATATTACTACTAGTCGGGATGGGGGTCATCTGTCCTGATGGGACGGTATCTGTGGTGGGTGTCCCATCTGGGTAGCGAGTATCTAGGGGTAATGGAGTAATCTATAAAGAAGCTCGAGATGGAATGGATGCATAGTTATTTGTCGAACAGGGTTTCTTGCCTGGGGAGTCACGCAGTTTTGGCCTGGGTGGCTACTAGTGCTGATAGATTAGGTATTATCGTAAAGATGGTGCTACGGAGTACGTAGGGTAGTAAGTCTAGAGGTGTCAAGCTTACGGCAACAGATTGCGCAGGGAATATGATGTTAGAAAAGCCTTGGCTGATTGACGGTTGATTATTCTGCACTAAATATACCTGTTATGTATGACAGTGGCTAATTGTAGGACTGTGGGGGCGGGAACAAGGAAGGTGGATATGCGTTGGATAGTGCTTATGTCTGCCTCGCTCGCAGGTGAGTCTTCAGGTTGACTTGAATGCGAAGACTCGGACATATACGAGGACGGCAAGTGATTCAAGTCATGTACAGTACAGTACTTCTTGCTTGGTCAATCAATATATTGTGGAAATAAAAAGTCGGCAAGTCTAATGCACTTATCAAGGCTAGCCCCCAATCAGTACCAATGCTGGCTAGCAATCATAGTTGATACTCTAGGTACGAGGTTCAATTAGCCTCTTTAGCCACAGTAGCGGAGTTACCAGCCCAATGAAGGGTGCGATTATGTAGTCACATTGCACTGCCTCAAGTATCCAGTCACTCTTTAAGTCGCATTCCGGGAAACAGTAATGGATCTCGAAGCAACCGCTCCATGTCATCTGTCCGAAGATGCAATGAAATGTCCACACCATGCGCTGTCCAAGTAGTCAGCGACGGGGGATCTCCCATCTCTGGGATCCGAGCGGGTGGCGCCTCCTTGATCAAGACAAGCCCATCCAGGTTTGAGAGAACACCTTCGGCGTAGCGAACCTTGCCTTCTGCGCCGTATCCCAGCCCGAAATCAACCTCATACAGACCGGCACGTGCCCACGTCGTCACCATCGTGTGGCGTCGACCCAGGAACCCTGTCCAGATGCGCTGCGGAGAATTTTCGAACGCTAGCCGGTGTAAATAAGCTCCCAGGCTAGCTGGATTGTTGACAAGTGTGATGGTCTCGCGGATGCGCTGCGTGATGTGGGGTAAAGAGAGGGTCTCCTCTCCACTGGTAGTGGTAGTTGTCGTGGTCACCTCTTTTCCCGTCATGCTCACATTCACCATCAGTATGGGTGACCCCAGAAAGGCATCACTGAGATGGAACACCGGCCGCAATCCACAGGTAAGATCGCAATACACTGGGCCGTTGTCGTCGTGCATCTGCCGCGCGCGGTTGATACACGCCCAGATGTGAGCCAAGACGGCATCGTGTCGACTTATTCGACCATTGGTGTACCCTCCCGCTTGTTCGTAGATGATGTCTACTTGGCACTGGGTCAGGTGTAGGACGTAGTAGGATACGCGAGCTTCATGGTCCCATTCGGACCAGGGTATGCATTTGCCTGCCGGGACGATCACATCGTGCTGGAATGCTTCAGGGACGTCAGATGGCCGGATAGATCCAGGTTCTGGATTCCACCAGTCATAGCGATGAATTGGTAGGTCCTCAGTCTGCCGGATAATTGTCTCATCCTGCGTGTCCGCATTGATGTCGCCTGCAGCCAGAGCATCGATCTGGTCCGGTCGAAAGACTGGGGTCAAGACAGGAAGAGGACTCTTGCGCAGTATCGCCCGATTAATGCTTGCCCAGTCCTTGACAAAGTGTACCAAAGTTTGTGCATCCGCCAGTGGATGTGCGAATTTCACTGCTAGGACGAACCCTCCGCAAATGAGTTGAGTAAGCTGAATCGCCAGCACGGGTGGAGAGGCGCCGTCTTCTCGGGCCCCAGATTTGCGGAGTGGATTAGCGAGTTGTGTTGAGGGCACAAATTCGCTCAGATGTGTATCACTGCAGTCCCACAAAGGTTGTGCAGCTGTCCGAGAGAGAGGATGGAGTTCATCCAATGTCACGGAAGATTGTGCAGTGACAAATTCGACGCCTGGATCATCAGAAGTGCCATACTGTACAGACACGCGACCAAATCGTTGAGTGTGAGGTACTGTACAATCGCTGACTGTGGTCACTGCTTTCAACTGCCCGCAACAGTGGGGATAAGCGTCCAGGGCGATGATAAGGGACTGACGAAGATGGTCCACCAGGTCGGATTGGCGTTCACGTGCAGGAGGTTCAAAGAGCCAGGCCGCGCAAGTCGCAAGGTAGTCCGCAGTGGTGGCGTCCAATAATGACAGTGGCACAATTCGCTCGGAGCTTAGCTTTGCGCTTGGGTAAAGCCTCTCGCACGTCAATCTCGTGGTTTCGTGGCACGCCATTGTGATTGGTTTGAAGTTCTTGGATGCAGGATATTAAAGAATGCATAGCCACCAAACGCATTTTGGTTGACGCGATACACGCACCCATTTTATGTTATACAGTGCATTCTTCGTCGACCATTTTCGTTGGCCACGAGAAGCCAAACCGAGACATCTTTGCAGTCATGATGGCTCATAATGATTGCGGTGCGACTTCGAATCCTGTAAAGCACATGACTCATTGATTTGGCCGTTGGATAAGGTGGCGCGAGTAATAAGAAACGCCAAGGTGGAATGGATTGATCGAGACTTTCATTAGCAGGGCCCAGTGACTACCCTACCGTAGGTTAGTGGGCGATGCGAACGCCATAATGGCGGTGGCTGCACTATCTATCCAACAACGCAATGTCTCCAAGTTCTCCAGGCTGCCGCAGCCTCTCTCCATATAGTCCATCCAGCTGGGAAACAAGTCGAGTTGGGATGAGTCCCGTAGTGAGAAGTTTCGATTGATCACGAAATTGTACGACAAAATGGGGCGACCAACGTATTCTGATGGAGAAGCCGCGGAACCCCCAACTCCATCTCAGAGGAGGGGGTGTCTATACTTCGTGGATCGGGGACACGTGAGGAAAGAACACGAAGCGGAAGGATCAGCGGTGAGATACTGCCGTGTGTTCACATGATAATCAAGGATTGGCTGTGCCCGCCTTAGTGACCATCGCCGAATTATTATTACATCCTTATTCGAGTATTCAACCTTGACGAAGCAAGAAAGTCCACATTAAGGGGGGCCAAGTTGCTCTAACTCTTTGTCGTGGCCCCATGCCTTCTTTGACTTGACTTACTAGTACGAGTACGATACAATTTTAGAATCTCATCCGCTAAATCCGAAGAGTACACCCACATGTACAACTGGTCACATTATCATCACTGCTCTCCTAGCTGGTGCCTGAGAGAGAGGGGGCAACATGCTAGCGGATCATTCGGAAGGTCTGGTCTAGGCGTTGTACGCATATCGGTTCCATCCTTTCGTCGAATATTCGATTTCTGGAAGGTGTTTCTGTGAGATCCATCGAAATGGGGGGAGGGGAACGAAAGGGGACCTAGATTTGGTATTGTCTGGTGCTCGGGAGCGGCGGATGCCTTTGATGAAGACACGATATGTAACTTATCCACTGTCCACAGGACCCCTCCCTTCTCATCCCCTTTCATCTAAATAGCTTTGGATCCGTCCTTCTACTCCCTTCACAGCGTTATCTCCATGGGTCAAGGACTGGAAGAAGATTCAACTACTCAGCAGCACTACCAGACCCGGGAATCAGGTCCGGAGGGGAAAGGGAGAAGAAGGGGGCGCTTCTAACCGACCGGGAAAACTTTGGAACGCCGTAATTAGGATTATTTGGTCCCATCTATTGCTCCTCTGGACTGGAAACAGGAAAATCCTAAGGGAATATACCCACCCCGAACGGATACTTTATTCCCTCCAAGCTGCGGTCTGGGCGGAGCCCTCGCCAGAAACAAACCCAGCCCACTTCTCTTCCCCCCCGAATCAGGCTCGCTGGGCCGCGATCCACCCCCTCGTCTACGGTGGATTTTGCTCGGCAGAAATTCTAGGTCCGACGGGCCTTGTTCTTTTTTTCACTCATATCGGAGTACACTTCGATGATCAGGCGGTTTCAGATGCAAACTCAAGTGGTTCAGCTTCCGCAATGGGTTCTCAACAGGCCATGTACTCGTAAGTACGGAGTAGGTTGAAAGGAGAAACTCGGCGAAGCGCGGGGAGGGCTCGATCTTGGGGTTCGGCACGAGGTTCCATCGCCGTGTATCTTCATTCCAGGGTCTAGGTTTTGTTTGGGCTTCATGAGTAGGCCCGTGATAGAGTCAATAAGGCGTAAGGTATTACTTTAGACAGTTCGATCGCGCATAGCATCGGGTCATCATCATACGGTGTATCTACAAGTAATCTATCTAGGACAATTGATTGACCCGTAGACCCCACCACTGACTGTACCCTGACAGGCTCAATTCGGATCTGCCATGGATGACCAGCATCGTGTCAAAACAATGAGCTGGAAGATTGGCAGATTGGCAGATTGGCAGAGACATCTATTACTTCTCACGTATGAAAGGAGGAAAGAAAGAGGGTCACATCAGATTGACCACGCGGGAGAAGGGGGCGAAGGAAGGGAGGGGTTGAGGGGGCCGGGCAGAATGCCAAGTTGCCAACCTTACTGGTGTTAAGCATATTCTCTCGGTCTTTCTCCGGCGTCAGATGGAAACTGGGAACTGAGTTAACGCCCAACAGCCTGGGAGAGAGCCAAGGACCGTTCAAGTCTATCCCGTCCATAATACGCGACCTAAAGCCTTGGCCTGGAATCGCTTCCCAATCTGAAGAGCAACGTTGTTGGCAAACTTGAACAACAGACGGAAGGGAAGGTTACTGATAACTGATACAAGAGGACTCCATAGCATGAATTGTTTGTCTCAAATTATGATCGGACTGGAATGGAAATGATTTTTTGATACCATTTTGGGCGGCAACTGCCTAGAACGGAGACCCGTGGATCGCCTCTTCGTATCGGCTGGATTTGCTCGGCAACCTGATGAGGACACCTGTTCGGTTTAGAATGTGTGATTTTGAGGTGATTTTCTTTCCCTCCCAGCTGGTAATTACCAATCTCCAATTTTACCTAATTAAACTCGCTTCTAACTCTGGGCTTGCTTTCCCTTCTTTCCTCCTTTTTTTTTATCTCTTTGTTCCCAACCGCGATACGGAACTGTCGGCTCGGCACCGCTCTTTCCCAGCTATCCACATCCCAACCTGGAACTCTCTGCTCGCTTAGAGACAAGAGACAATTTGATGGGCGGGGAGGTGGAGGGGGTTGAAGTTTCAGATTAATGGTCGATCCAATTGCCACTTCGATTTACTGAGAATCAGAATAGGCAGTCTAACAGTTGTCTAAACCCAGATCCCTGTAGCTTCTTTCCCAAACCACATTGTACTCATACTAAATATGTGTGTGTGTGTGTGTGTGTGTGTGTGTAATGATATCAAGTACGATGTATGGACAAAAGACCATGTGTGACCGCAGTGCTACGCAGATCTTCTGTGAAAACCTCAAGAAGGATACTGGACACATTACAACCAGGGTCACTTACCAAGTTACTAAGGATTGGCTAAGCCTTGGCCTATCTTACTATCGCGGTACTGAGATAGCTGGCTGAGTTTATCCATAAGCAGCCAACTAACGGAGAACCAGTCGCAAAACTCGTGTTGAACGACATCAATCTCTACGTAGTAGCCAGCGGGGATGGGCTGGCTTGGCTTCTGCGGCGCTTTGACACTTGGGGCGTGAGTTTGACCAAGGATAAGAATCCTCGGTCATGGGACCTTAATATGAGTATCTTGCGCCTACGGAGGAAGTACTGCTTATAGATAGGAGTAAGAACAAACAATCTAGTTTCATTGTTTAGTCAATCTCCCGTTCCCTTCAAGGGGGAAATTACACAGAGACACCTATGTTCGTGATTATACCCATTGCAAGTAGTCGGAACGTGGACTAAGCAGGGACAGGGAATAGGAGACAAATAAACAGAGCCTATCACGGATGCGGAGTATGTCACTAACCTAGGCAATAGTCGAGAGACTAGGTCTGCACCGGTGGATGCCCAGAGCGACGGCTTCGGAGTGTTATTGAAGTAAGCTATAAATATGTGGTTTCATTTGACAGCAAGCTTTGATTACTATTATTACTCCGTACTTGGTCATTATTACATGAAGTAGCTCTGCCCGTCTGGCTGGCAAGAAAAAAGTTAGAACCGAAAGCTTTTTGACTTAGTCTTTCTCCCTGGTGCTTGTTTGACTTTTGACTCTCGGAGCGTCACCCCCTCGCTGCTCCGTACCTTAACCTAATCCAAACACACTATACTGAGTATAGAATACAATTTCGACCATTCTTATGCATCCCAAAGAGAAAATCCACTACAAAAGAGGAGGGAAGGTGCAACAGCAGATTCCAGTCCGCAATATCTATCTCGGGTAGTTGATCTGCGAGTACAACGATCAGAAAGTGAAAGGTGGGTGTTGGTTTGACCACTATGACAGGAAGGAAGATCTTTCCACTTGGATCTGCAGTTGCCCTACGTACTCATATACTGAAGAAACATATGCCTGCATGCCCTGTGGTTGTGCTTCTCCGCCACTTTCAATCCCATTGTATTGTACCCCGTACAGTATGGTAAAAGACGGCGACAAGCACTGCAAGCAAGACTAGAATGAAAAGGCAAATGGGCCAAAAACAGAACCTACCGACCCAATCGCCTGCATATCGCACACTCTCCAACGAGGAAAAGAAAACTAGAAGATGGCAATTCGGCAAAACCTTGGTCGGACTTTTCTTTTTCGATTGATTTCCTTTAGAATCTAGCTTAAATCAATTATGCTAGTGGAGATAAGCCCCGTGTAACGTTTCACCAAATGGCGCCCCTTGGGCAATTGGATCATCTTTCGAATCAAGGGTTGCATTGGGGCATGACCATACCAGTTGACATCAGGTGTCGCAACCCAGATAGATCTTGATGTGAGAGGATTCCAGGAGTAACCGCTTCTCTGCCCCTCGTGTGACTCGAACATGCAAGGGATCTCTATTTTCCAGGGGAATTCCCCCCAAAGGACTACTGAGGCAGTAGACGGGTCTTTTGTGTCCGATGACATCCATGATGCTTCTGCTGCTTCTCCTTCTGCTAGTTATCTATCACATTTGCTCCTCTCGAAGCTAAGCTTCTGAGAAGCGACAGAAACACATTGGCACCCTGTTATCCGGACCGACCGGCCAGACGATAGTGGCTGACCATCTAACTGCGATGGGAATGTAATAGCTTTCGGTCTGACCACCTCAGGATAATTTAGAGTATCTGTGGCCATGATCACAATTCAACGACAAGGATCGATCGTTTCTAATAATTGCTCGGCTTTCGGACTTTAGAGAGAAGGGAGGGTCTCAATCGACCTGGATTGGCTGTTGATGCTGATCGCAACCGACTGACCCTAATGCCATGGTACCTTACTCTGGCGGCAACAAGGTTCTTGTACAAATTACACTCAGTTAGCTGCATTCTTCGGTAGGAAACTAAAGCTTGATCGCGGCTGTTAGCCTGCCTTATGAGACGAACCATAGGGAGCGCTGTGCTTATTTATCCGGCGGTCCTTCTCGGTCACCCTAGACTACCTGGGCTGGTTACTGCCCACTCGTTAGCTACTCTTGTGTGTACTAGGTAGCAATTCTTAGCATACCCTCTAGCGTCGCGAGTGTTACCGCATACAGGTGAGCCTGGTTCTCGGAGAATCGAGCTGCAGCCTCATATCATTCACTCATATGACCGGCTATGCTTCACATCTTTTAGTATCAAGGAATCAGGGAACACTTGGTACATCCTACTGAAAACCATCTAGTGTATATCCGAGCGGCGGTGGATCGATCTGGTAGTACTTTGCATCACCTTACATGGTCCGGATTTTTCTGGTCGCAACACAGAGAGATAGACCATCGACCTGCGGGTGATGTGTAAGTACTATCCACATCCATCTTGTCCGCCGCCATACCCGCCAGTGTCGTAGGGAGAACGTCCAGACTGCAATCGAGTCAGTCAGCAGAGTGACACTAGAAGTTTGTGCATACGGGCCCAAAAGTGCATTACATCGGTTTAGTCCTACAAACTATTGCATTGCAGGGTACATACAGTACATCGGACTGTAACACTAACCACAGCTTGCGGGGACCGAGGGTGATTGGTGGTTTGATTACTAGGTTCCTTTGAGAATAACCTGTTTGTAAGTACCTACTAAGGATTTGTTCCTCTTTTCAGATTGTGTTCGCAGTCTCTCGCAATAATCATATATCGTGTGTCCGGTCCGAGCTGAGACATTACACTTGTAGAGACTACTAGTAATACGAAAAGGATGCTTACTATCTCAGAGTCTCGGAATATCAAGCAAGAAAAAATTAAGCACTTGATCGGGTGACACCATTCTAACTCTTTTGGAACGGGGAGTAATCATAATAATTTAATCTAAGTTAATCTATTCTGGATCTTCTTTTGGGGCCCTTTTGTCTTCCTTTGCTTTTTTCTTTATGCTGCTACGGAGTATACGGGAGTAGATTTCGCCATTGTAAATTAGTAACTCTGGGTATTTTGCCGCTACCCTGTTATTCACGAACTTGACCTTTGGGGGTGGATTGGGGCAAGAAGGGAAAAGGAAGGCATCTCCGGTCGTGATTTGGTCCTGCCCATTTTGCCATGTGAGACATCAGCTGCACAGGGCCAGCCCTGTAAATACTAGTCCGCAGTTTAGTATCAGATTCAGGACACTCCTGATTTTACCCCCCTCCTCCAAAGAGCCCACCCTATCGCTTGGGCCGTATGCCTTGCGAAATCCTGTAGTGGGCCGGGCCAAGAGGAGCCAAGGAAACCGGGCCAGGATGCGACCGACTTTGTTGGCGATACGCTTATCCTGAGTACGACCGTACTAACTCAGACTGTGCTCCGGTTCGGCTGCACTACTCCAAGTAGCCTAAGTGAAAGAGGGCATACTTGGCTTCTTAGCATAGTACCCCAAAGGATGGGGCTGTGTGAAGGTCATACATCCGAGGGATGTTTTTTTTTTTCGTTCTTGCAAATAAGAACTAACGGACCGACTCCAAGAAAAAGGAATTTCTCCCTGACATAAAATCGTAAGTAAACTTGTCATTTGGGAAATGTTCAGGCTCAATATAATCCCGGTTAATGAGATACACGATGAATTTGGCAGCCTAGGGGTTAAGAACGGGGGGGGGGTTGATTGTCTATGCGTTCGGCGCGCACTGACGACGTCAAAATGGGCCTATTCATTCTTGTAAGTGTACTATTGGTTCCCAATAGATTTTTTGTCTCATCACCTGCGACATGACTGATTTCCTATTTCTGATAGGCTGAGGCAACTCACTGAACAAACCACCTTTTCCTCCCCGAAAATGAAGATTGGTAGACCTGATCGAGATGGCTGTGCAAGTCCCTTAAACAGCACGGTGAACACTAATCATGTACTGTACCAGGTAAGCCTAGTTAAGACCCAGTCGGGAGATTGGTTGGGGAGAAAAAGACTAAAGGAAAACAAAATTAAAATTGTACCAAAGAGAAAAAAAAAGGGAAGTTGGATTGTCATATGTAAGCGAATCAATCCTTTTTGGAACTAAGACTAAAGAAAAAGAGTAAGCCCAAGCGACTGCGGACGGCCAAAGCTCGACCTTGCGCCCGCAACTTTATCACCGAAGTGGCCATGTCTACTGGACAATAAGTTCCGGGGGAGGGTTCCAAAAGCCAAAAAGAGCCTAACTGGCGCGTCTCAGGGCTGGTAGAATTTCCCGAGGCGAAAACTACATAGGAGGAAAAGAAGAAAGAAGAAAGAAACAGAGGCACGGAGACCGTACTCATGTACGAGTAAGAAAAGGTCGGGGAGTAAAAGTCGCGCCCGCAACGCAAAAGTTTACTCACTCCTCTCCCCACTGATAGGACAGCGGAAGAGGTCGCCTACAGTTTGATAAGTCGCCCAGCAAAAGAGTAGGTAGATCAGGTATTACGTGGCCGATCGCTGTGCATATGACTGATCCTAGAGTAGTTTAAACTGTCGTTTACGTGAGAGTTAAACTTTGCCATCCGAAGTCTAATAGTACCTGCTTACTATCTGACCATGGTCAGCTATCATTGGGATCCACTATCTTACTGATCAGACAGTTGTGTCAGGCGAACCACCGTTTTGGATAAGATTTGTCAAGCTTTTCATGGGTTGGGGGTTTTCTGCTCATGCCTGGTAAATTCTGGTTGCCAACCGGCGGATAAATCTGCAGCAGAGGGAAAGAACTGTACAGTAACCTTGCACTGAGTTGGGTGGAGTGTGAGTTACCAGACCTGTCAGTCTAGCCGAACCACCGACCCCTGCTTGCTACGGAGACTAGGATGGGGATGGTTTCAGGGAGAGAGAGCCTCGAACAAGTTGGGGGCAAAAACCGGCGACGCGATGGAGCTTGGAGTCAGCCCGGGAGCTCCGTGATGGCGGGTTTGCTAAATCGGATCATCGCAAATCGCTTACTTGTCAGTGTATTCACGCTGTTGTCGTGCGCAAAAACCCCCGCTCAGGTTATTTGATCACTCCGATGCGGAAATCTTCTGCTCTCCTGCTATTGAAGGGCTCGTTTAATCGAGGCAGGCCGTGAATAATGATTGATTCAGATCTGGAGATCAGATGGCCAGCAATACGAGTTCAAACCGCCACAGTGGCTGTCGCTTGGGTTGCCGATAGCCGGTAATCCGAGGGAAATGAACGATCATTTTCTCTGCTCTGAGTCAAGACGGTCAGACATGGATCATATACACCGGCTAGCCCGGCGGGCTAACCCCAAGGGAAAAATGTCGTCAGCTTTGACCAGAAATGGTCACATTTCTTTCGGGCGGAACCGCTGCGTAACCCGGGGATGATCTAACCCTAAATCATTGGGAATGCACTCTATGTAAGCCCGTTTTGCTTGAGGATTGAAGGAATGAGCTAGTTATCAATAATAATATTATGCTCTTTTGCCTTCATGAGATGAGTATGAGTAGGGTGAGTATTGATTCGTCACAAATTCACAATACCTATGATCCATGCCGGCCTTCCTTCTAGGCCGCGGGTAAAAGATTCGATGAACAGTGGAGAGCTGAAGCCAGCTACTCAGCTATATCACAATGCATGCAATCATTGCAATGAAAACCCGAACCAGGAAAAGTAAGATCCGGACGACACGGATACATAATTCAGAGTTATACGGAGGTACATAAGTTCATAACACGACTCAAGACTTCGACAGGAACTGAAAAGTCGGCCACGGAACAAAGTGGATTCCCAGCCACAGTGGAGGTCATGAAGGGGAGAGGAAGAGGGGGGATGGAGGGGGGGGGAAGGGGGATGGAAAAGGAAAAGGGAAAGTGGGAACCTGGTAGGCAAGACCTTGTCCGTCCCGAGGTCTGCTTTTGATTTTTCTCTAAGCGAGCTTAAGGTTCCTCGTGTTGGATTAAGCTTAAGCTTCAGAAAGTCGCGCACTAATCAATTTCCGGTTGGTTTCAAGCGATCAGAGCGCCACTGGTATCTTACTAGTGTATTACAATGTTCTGCCCATGTTTTCTGGGATTTTTTGCTCGGATTACTTAGAATATTCTCAATTTCTCTGAATCATGAGTTCTGACGGCCAAGACAACTCTGTCCCCCCCTCCCCGAGAGGGTAGCCGAGATTTGGTTCCGCTGTCTCTCATCTAGGTAACTTATTATTATGTAGCTGCCATAGCATTAAGGATGGTAGGACAGCAGACCCATGAGCAAGGAGAATAGTGCCAGGTGCTATGGTATCATCATCCTTGGATGCTAATCGATATCAACCTGCTAAGGAATGGACATCCGGTATGTGGGAATCCTACAGCCCTGTAGGCAGGAGTTTGTACTACCCATCACATATGTAACCGGTTACTCTGGGTGTCGGTCGTGGTATACAGTACATAGATGCAGTCCAAATGCTGACGACGACGACGATGATGATGTTAAAACCACCTTGTAGGAGTAACTTACCTCTTGCAAGTAGATTGCCTGTCTGGGTTTAGACTCCACCCGTGAATGAGCCCCCTCTTCTTAGGTTCACTGCTTGACTGCTGGTTATAGGATTACCTGTAGTGTGTGAAAGTATAACTGTACACACTTATACTTATATTCCCGAGAGAGTTTTGGTACGACTTAGGAGAGGTTAAATTACCTGGAGCTTAGCTGACCCGACAGTCATGCCTCTAGGCATAGCGCAATGATAAATTGAAGCGAACGAACTCAACCACCAGCCTCGCTCTCCAGTACCATGGATGAACATTAGGCGAAAGAGAAAAGGTTAAAAACAAGGTTCGCTTTGTTTGTGATAAATCCAGCAACTAAATAACATCAGATGAAATCATTTGCTGCGGCCTCCTCTTAATCTGTACCCACTTTTCTTGGTCGTTGAATCTGGCTGGCTGATCTTTCGCATGGCGCCTAGAAAGAAGAGGTCCAAGCCATCATCCTCTGACCCTGGCTGGGGCTGAAATCACGAATGGATAAGGATTACACTAGTTCATAATCCCGAGAGACCATGAGGCAAAAATAGAGAGGCGGATGTAGTCAAAGAAGCAGCGAGGAAGATACTCATAAATCAGGAGTGCTGCTGCTGCTAACTATTCAAAACAATAACTATTTATGCAACACCGATTCAACTTCACTTATACATAGTCCAGTCCATGTATTAGATTACTAATGTGTATTCAGCTGTAGCCGATGCTCATGCGAACACGCAATTAAATCCGACCCAGATTTTCGAGTAAGATTATTCCCATCTCATTCAATAAACCAAAACACAACTGCTTAACCCTGTGGGGTTCAAAGTTAGGTTGATTCCCCACCCTTTCTTTGATGCTAATTCTTCACTTGAATATTTTTATTTTATTTTCCATTTCTTTTCCCCCCTCGGGTTTTATTTATTTTATTTTATTTTAGTTGGACTTGATTACCATTCGGATTATAATAATCATTTTTCCAGTATTTCTCTGCCTATTCTTTTCTTCTCTCCTACCACCATCTACCCTTCCTACAACTCTCTCATCATCTCCGATTCTACCTGTGACTGCAGCAGCAACGCTCAAACCCGCAATTATTCCCACTGTAAGTAATTGAACTGGTGAACCCGTTCGTTGCATTATGTAGCCTCCTTGTCTCAGCATCCTTTGTATAACTTTACGCTTGAGTCGGTCCGCTTGACTGCATTCCTTCTTTATTCTCCTATCAGTTGTGCCCATCCCCACTCCCTACTTTCTCTTCCCTTCCTTGCTGCCTTGGTTCCATCTACATTCCATCCCCCTCTACACTATCCCCTCGACCCCCTCATTCCCATTCTAATATACATAGATAGCAAATTAACCTCGTTTCTTACCATTAGATCCTCGTTCACTTTCTGTGGATGCTGTGGCAAGATCAAAGCCGATACCGCCCGGGCTGCATCAGTTTCCTAATCGGGAAATATCCACTACCGTGATTGATTCTCCAACACACACAAAGAAGCACGGCGCAGAAACCAACTCCCCTCTGTCGTCAGAGGGACCAGCATTGAGTAGCCCCGGCTTCTACTCGACTTTCAATATTCTGTACCCTACGAATCACCCAGCCCTGGCGCTCAAACCAACCGTCATCACGGGGACCTACACAGATCACCGAAGGTGGATGGAGACGTATCACGGCCACGTCCGCACCCCAGCGGACGCCATCATCCTCTTCGAAGCTTGTCGCATTGGCCTTCTCCCCCGAGTACAACGACGACTGTCGGAAAAAGAACGTCAGTTAATCCGCTCGGGGTCAGTTTTTGTCTGGGATGAAAGGGAGGCGGGTATGCGAAGATGGACCGATGGCAAATCCTGGAGTGCGAGCCGGGTCTCTGGCAGTTTCCTAACTTATCGCGAAATGGAGGGCAAGCGAGGAGGAACTGGTGTGGCACAAACGACAATGTCAAGAGGGGGAAAGACCCCAGATAGTGCGCGAGGCAGCGACGACGATCGGGGGGACGGCGTGGACGAAGGACCTGATGGCTATCGATATAAACCCGATGGATTGATGAAACAGTCGTTCAGCATCACCACCTCGACCGGACAGCATCTCCATCTCATCAGCTATTACTCAAGATCGCACCCGTCTGCTGCCAATCTCCAGCAACCTTCAACAGATCCGGCCTTGCGACATGTTCGACCCCAGAAGGGACTCTACCCAGAATCTACGGTCAACGATCAGCAGAATCTTCCTGTCGTGACTCGTGGCCCCATGGCCGGTGCAGCCTACGTATCTCCTCATCCGATGGGACCGTATGCTCGCGCCGCTGCTACGCATGCTCCCCCATACACGACGTCGTACACATGGCCACCAACTCCCCTGGCCACGCCGCCTGTTCCGGTTCATCACTATCCCTCATATCTACCTCCAGTTCCGGCCGGTAGTCATGTCGCATATTCTCATCATCATCATCATCATCCTGCGTCCTTACCACCAGGTACTCCTCTACCGCCACCTCCGCAGCCCCCCGGTTTGCAAACGCCCCACGAGCGACCAATTCATGCGGTTGAGGTTGCGATGCCTCCGGCCTTGCCCCCATCGTCTGTACAGATGCTTGCAAGTCGGTCGCCACGCACACCAGTTGAAGCGCACGAGATGCTGCATCGAAGCCCGTCAGAGCTCGCACACCACGCGGATATTCGACGTGCGTCTCCACGCACGCAACCACATCCTCTATCACACAGCAACGGCCTTGGCCCGGCTGTGCGGAGCCCCCGGCTTTTGAACCAGCCTCCATCCAACGCCATTCATATCCCTCCCCCGAGTGCGGTGGTCTCCAAGCCTCTCGAGCCTAATAGCTCCGGCATTGCTGTACCCAGCATTGGTTCCCTAATGAACGGCGCACCGTCTGGCGGATTACCCTCAATTACCGCTCCTCCAGTTCCGGCAACAGGGCGAGCGGAGGGGCCCAAGGACATCCCTAGCGAAAAGATCGGATTCGGTGGGGAAGATATGCGGGCTCTCAGACAACTTGATCGAGTTTTCACAGCTTAAGCAGCCAATGGTTGAGATATGTCTCACGATCATTCATCATTTTCGCAAGCTGTTGTCACTTCGTTGTGTTGTCGCTAGCATCAATCTTCTCACGTCTGCCTTATATCCCTTGTTTCTTGTACATGATTTAGCATTTTGCACCCGGTTGAGCTATTCAGATTGAAATGGTCATGCCCCCCAGCCCCACGACATTGTTTCTATTCTCCATTCGGTCTGGTTTATGGTGTTGTTTTCGGTCTTATTTGCACAGAATCGGCGTTGTACAAAGAGGTGCATTACTATACAGCATGGGTGGGATTTTTTATATGTCACGGGTGACTTCTTTTCAATCCTGCGTTGAGGTCGAGAATTGCAATGGGATCGGTAAGTCCGGTGACTAGTCACGATGATAACGTTGAATTTATAAGAAACATCTTAAATTCATCTTTGCAAACTCCTGCACCTGACACCCACGGTTCCTGGAGTCATTGTAGTCATTGTAGCACTGCCGCCAGTGTTGTCTATGTGGTCAACCCCACTTGTGAATAATTGGCACAAACCTGCTGTCTCACCTGGCTCAGCAGACAACTATAGTATAGCCCAGGCTCATCTGCACGCCGACTGGGTCCATGCACAACCAGCTCCCAGGTTTGCGCCTGGCCTCATTCAAAACCATAAGCTAATCAAAAGATGTATTGCAATATCGAGTGACCTCAATCTTTTCGGCGGTAACTCCGGGCCTTTTCATTCACGTTGAAACAGGTGCCAACTTACGCCCACTTTCGCCCGATTTCTGCTTCTCAGAATGTAGGTATGTATCAGGATTGAGAATTCATGTTTTGAGATGACCCTGATCAGTTTGCCCCGGTGGAGCCAGACCAGATAGGAAGGATACTTGGCTGACCTGAGGATGTACATACCTAGCAGTCCTTGAGGTGGATGGCGGGCACATGACTGGATCCCCAATCCAGTCCTCCTCATTTTACGAGCGGTGAAACAAATCTGCCTAGTCTAGTTCTTCCATTCTTTGATCATTCCACGACAATTCGTCTACTAAGTTACCCAGCTGAATTCTGCAACACCACGTCCCCCCGCTTGCTTGCCTTCAGGCTAGTCGTCCCCGAAGATCGCTGAAACGCCCGCCCAGCGCTGACCCACTCGAGCCAATGGCCGCGGAAGGGTTTATTTACAGAGGTTACAGAGGAGGGAGAGACCCGCAATGGATTTGCTGCCAGCTCGGAATTTGTTGGTGTGCTGTATGTAGCTGAGCCGCAGAGTCACGGGCATTGAAATGGTTTGCTGGGATCCATCTCGACCCATTATACGGGCAGGTAGGTTTCGCAGAGGGAAACTGTCTTCCGGGTTTCAGGGCAGGTATTTAGTTAATTGCCGCAGTCACTCTACTCTATCAATCAACATTCCCCGAAGAAGAATAGGTGGTCATCCGCGGGCAACGCTCGGTTGGCTGCGATGCTGTTGACGAGGCGACTTGGTCGAGGCGCAGCTGGAGCAGACTGCGGGTCGTGGATGGTGAGCTTTCTCCCTGCGTTTACGGGTTACATGCTTTGAATGTCCGAGCCGAGGTACACAGTTTGGAGAAGGGGTCGGGGGCTGAGATGGTCATGCTCTTGACTTTGGTGCAGTCACACTTGGGCGGGGAGGCCAGTCGCGGAGGAGTCATGTTGTCTCTGCCCGCTATCTGCACCTCTGTCAGCCAGTCATTCCAGAAGGGGCGGATATATCACCGGCATCTGCAGCCCTGCCTTGGCTCAGAGCGTCAACGGCCGGGCAGTTCGTGAAAGCCTGGACAATTGACTCGATCTTTGCGGATCAGTAACCACACCTCCCGCATGGTCCAAGTGAGACTCGGGTGGAAGGCTTGTGATCGGACACTACGGCATATAACTGATTACATGCCATCTCTTTTGGAAATGGGCATATTGCGCGTGGAATTGAACTGCAGCAATCACATAGTCGACTTCATTTAATGGCTGTCACCGAACGGTGGTAGGGTCACTACGAAACTTGAAAACTCGAGATTACTTCTGTCTCTGGCTGCAGCTTCGAGGCTCGGTATAGAAGGCCCTAACGAGCCCATTGGTCTGTTTCACTTTGACAAAGTGCGATCCGGAATGACCTCCGAAGCGGCCAGGTTTATATCCACCAGCTTTAGCAACGACAGATGCTGCAGGCGCAACAGGGCGATATTGCGCCTCTCCTCCTCAGTTAAGGAGCCAGGGTCACGACGCGCCACAAGCTCTTCGAGAGATACCGCGAACTCGCTCAGTTGAGCTAGCATGATGTCCTGCTGTGCTGTCGCCCGCTGCACCACGGCCGGTTCCTTTGTGTTGTCGTGCAAAAGAGTTTCGCAGGACCCTCGGAAGTGTGATACGTTGCTCATGAGGATATTGATTCGCTGTCTAGCTTCTAAGAGGCTTCCAAATGCGTTGCTACCAAGGCTGCTGGACCCAGTCAGGGAGGTATCCTGGTCTGTTGATTGCTCATGCATCAGGCTGCCATGACTGTTGGTCACAGACGGGTAAGCATTCTGGTCTGTCGATTGCTCGAGCGTCAGGGCATCTGATTGTTCGTATTGTGCTATTTGCACATCGAGCACCATGAAGGCTTGGACCAGGGCAGCCTCGGTCGCAGATCCGTAGCGGAGCTGTGTGGTAGGGAGCGAGCCTTGTCTCGGATGATGCCTCCAGTACCCATCACGCTGCTCCACGAGTTGCACTCCCCTCCGCAGATGCACGCCCGCGCTCTTGTAGCTGCCATGAAGCAGCTCGACGCAGATGAAAGTGATACAGCATATCAAGACCACCAGCCGGACCTGAGGATCATTCGACGCCAAGCGTCGCCGGAGCATGACCATCGCTTTGCCATACTGCTCGAACGCAAAGCGATGATGCGAATCATGCATACCCTGCTTGCCAGTGCGGCAAAGGCCGCGCATCTCGACATCCTCGTGAAGCGCACTCAGAGCCACGGCGGTGTGGTAGGCGGCCGGCTCCGCATGGCTGATCTGCAGGACTATCCGCTGCCATACCTCCGAATTGAACCAGTCGGCCATCCTGGGCGCCGTTTGATGGAAGAAAATGCCAAAGCATCGTTGTTCGTCAGTGCTGGTATCCGGTTGGGTAGTGGGGGCGATCTGTAGAACGAACTGTGGCCAGATGGTCCTTGCAACTGCTCCAGAGATGCGTGGCAACCGGCTAGCATCGTATTCGCAGTGGCGTCCGGTGTAGGTGCATTGATTGCACGCACCCGGTGTCTCATCACATTTGACATGTCTGGCTCTGCAGATCGGAATGGCCGTGGATCAGTAAAAGCGAGCCGGGGGCGCAGTTTGGTTCCAGTTTGAGGGGTGGTTACAGACCGACAAGTTCGACATCCGTTTCGGGACCTGTGACGAAATTGTCTCTGCCTCTGTCTCTTTGGCTCTGCCATTGAGGAAGGGATTGTAAGGCTGGCTTTGAGGGACAACTTGACGAACGAAAGTTGAGATGGCGCATTTGGTCACTACCTGGTAACTTAGTAGTAGGTAGCCTCAGCTGTCGGTAGTCGCTTGATTGGGGGGAGGGAGGGGGGGTGGGGAGAGAGGGAAGGGACGCGGCCCGCTTCCGAGTGGGCGCCGCCGCCTCCGCCTTGACCTGTCGATGAATGCCCCAGTTCTATATATTCAACAGAGAACGTCTTCGAAGACCCTGTCGGTCTGAAAAAGTATGAGCTGATAATGCTGACTACTCGGTCCGTTGCAGGCAGCGACTGCTCACCCCAACTTCGATGGCCATTGCGTGCTAAGAGGCACTGAACAGTCAAGGAAAACTGCTTCCTGAAAGCAATGTTCTGCCCATGACCAATCCTACAATAGCAGCCAAACCCAGAGTCTCAGCATTCTTTCAGCTTGAGGCCATTCGCCGGTCGCTCGCCTCCGCGCGTCTCCACCATCATTGGCTTCAACCTCCGGCCGCCCAGGTATGGAGGTAACACACGCGCGGGAATCAGCTGAATGTCGGGCCAACTCCTAAGCGTGACCTCGCGGTGGTTCGTTGAATCAACTAGTGGCTCTATCTCAGCTGAAGAGTGACGCCACTCATGATTGTACGACAGTATGTAGGAGCGACATCTTCAACTTCTGATTGTGGACTACGATTGGCAATGATGCTGAGACCTCCAAGAGATAGCGGTGCTAATGCCTTGACTTTGTGCTAGGGGCTTTCTCAATACGCAATACATTACAAGAGTCCGTGGCTGATTGTAGCCTTCTGTCTGCTAGGAGATTTCTGGCGTATGCCGGTCATTTGGAGTCGACAGGCAGCAGGCTTTACCAGAAATAACGCCTAGCACATGGTGACCACGCTGTATTCTCGATGCCTAGACAAGATGCGCCAGATTATGAGCCTTCCCTCTTGTCCAAAGGCTTTACTTGAGGCTCTCACTGACACATGGTATTTCGACTCCCATTGGATTGACTTTCAGACTGTTCAGCGTGTATGACAATCAAATGGAGGTTCGTAACATCAAAAGAATGATATATAGCTTTCCAGGTAGTCAGAATGGTTTTTCTTTCTGGTAAGTCCGACATTGTATATAGTCCCGTGGCCCCTCTGTTACTGAATGTCTTCAAGCAGATGTTTCTCAGAACATGGCTTGGATTCCTCTGGCGTGTCAGTAACCGTGCTTGCCCCATATCTCAATGACTTCCTTAAGAAAAAGAAGAAGAAGAAGAAGAAGAAGAAGAAGAAACTGGGTACATGGGCTCATCTAATCTGCAACTAGAGAAAATGAATATCTACCTCAATGACGCGAGAGGCAGAAAATACATTCCCCGCGATCCTTCTCGACTTAAAGCCAGGGACAATGTATGCGATCAGATACAGTCCTGGTGGTCCTTTACTTAGACCTGACAACTTCGTTCTTAGGCAATGTGGAACGGGCAACAACTGGGCCAGGGGCACTATGCTGAAGGGGCCGATTTGGTAGATCAAGTGACTGATGCTATTCGGAAGAAGCAGAGATATGCGATTACAATCAAGGTTTCCAGATTGCCCATTTGCTAGATGGCGGGACGAGGCCCGGTATGGGCACGCTTTTGATTTCAAGAATCAAAGAAGATTTCCCCGATCGAATGATGACCGCGTTCTAGATAATGCCCTCTGCTAAAGCTCCGATGCCGTCGCTGGACCTTGCAATGCCATGCTCTTCACGAAACACTGGATTCATGAAGCGGATGAGACTTTCTGCTTCGACACTGGTGTGCGATAGACAATTTCTTCGCTATTGCTGCATCAATATACTTGAATGCGCACTTTAAGACTCGGTTACCCCACGCACTGTGCCTTCCATTATTTTGTCTCAGCAGTCATATCTGGAGTCTCGGTGTGCCTTTACTTTCCAAGCGAGCTAAACCCGGATATGTGCAAGCTCTTAAGATGGTTCCGTTTGCCCATTTGAGCATCTTGATGGCGGGCTTTGCACCACTCACCAGCCACATGTGCACTCATTCCGATCAGTCACAGTCTCGGATCTCACGCAGCAGATTTTTGATTCGAGCAACATGATGGCCTCTTGCGATCTCAACCGGGGCTGATTTTTTTACATGTTCTGCTTGATTTCAAGGGCCTGGGATTATCAAATATATAAACCAGACCAAACACTGAGCTCTCTAGCCAGTCGGGGACGGATCTCCATGCGAGAGATCGAGGATCAGATGAAGCACATCCAAAGCAGCAATCGTAGAGCTCGAATTACTCCTAAGCAACGTGCAGACAGCATTCTGCTCCGTCCCGCCGCAGAGTCTCCGGGTGTCAGCGACTTTACATGGCAACTCGACGGTACTCCAGGAGATCCTCAACCGCGTGGGCCATGCCTTTGCTCGACTTTTCCGCGTCAAGGCGGTTTAACATTGGTACCTCGGGGACGGAATGGAGGATCTGAAGTTTGTCAAGGCCGCAAGCAATCTGCATGACTTGATCGCGGAATATCGACAGTATCGATATGCCTCTGCTGAGGCTAGTTACTCTGATGGGGCGAGCCCCGACAATGAGGATCTACAGCACCTCAAAAACAAGCGAAAAAATATTGAGTGGTTGTCTGCTGGGTTCAAGGCCTAGCTGTGGTACTTCAAGTCAAAACATTCTGATCAGAACTAGAAAGTCAGCTTTCCGTGACTTCGTCTCACAATGCCTCAAATCATTGGAAACCATCCCAAGACGAGGATTATTCCGATCATCTACGAATGACTCCAAAACACCATCTCCTCCTCAATCCACTGCAACATCAACCAGATATTATATACCACTCACTAACCACCATGTGAATCCCCCCAACCAATTCACGTGACCGAACCCAGTCTCTCCCCTCTGCCCCTCCCCTCCCCCTCCCCCTCCTCCCGCGTATCCCGTCGTCCTTAAAAGTACAATCAACTAGCGCCCATCACCACCACCACCACCACTACTCCTGTGCGTCCATCAAAATAGGGTAAAGCGGGCGGGCCCAAGGCCTTTCAACCTACTGTACGATAACGGAAAAAGAGGGTAAGTGTAGATTAGTGCAGAGCTTCTTTCCCCAATCCATCTGCATGATTGACCGAGAAGGGGGCGGGGGGTTACTTAGTACTACCGAGTACTTAGTAGTAGGCTAGTAGCTCGCCGCGGGTTGTCTGCATCGCGGCGCAACGCACGTACGCCCGCAAAACGCACGCGAAGTCTTTTTTTTTGGTGGTCTACTAGAAAGTCGAACCTATCACCCCAGAAACCAAAAGAGGAATAGACCAACAACCCTAAGGGAAAAGCAAAAGAAACGATTTTCTTTTTGACTAAGCAGGCAGGCAGGGTAAAAAATAGGGTTGAGTCGGGTTGTGGGTTGTGAGTGGATGGGAATGTACGTATACCCGATCCTCAGTACTGACTAGTCTACTCTGGGGAATGTGTTGAAAGGTTGGTTATGGGATCGAGATTTTTTGCTTGGACGCTTGGAATGAAAAGAGGTCTGGAGCGGGTGGGTGGGCCGTCTGGAACCTTTCTTCTCTTCGTGAGTAGTTATACGTGGGTATGAAGATTTTTACATAATTGGTGTGGCGGGTGAGAATTGGGTTGTTGATAGAGCAATAGAGGAGAGGGAGGGGCAGGGGAGGGGCTAAGTTGAGATAGAGAGAGAGAGAGAGGTGGTTGATGGGATGGGGAGGATGGTGTCGGGGTAAGAGGGGAGAGGGAGAGGGCTATTTGACCAGTCAAGTTCTGGGAGTAGTCGGGTGCATCGCGGGTGTTCCAGTTGCATGCTGTGCTTGAGGATTCATATTTGAGGAATGGGGCTGCTGATTCGATGACACTATACGTAGTAAAACTCTCGCTGCCATGGGTGGACTAATGCTGGTCTTGGTCTGGTTATGGTTCTGAGCTCCTAGGTTCGGGCCATGGTTGACTTATAGTTAGGTGATCAACATCTGAGAAGTACTGATTTTACTCCAATGTACTCTCCGTAAGCTCGCTACCACTAACTTGAGTGACGGATTCACCCCCACTTAGCACACCCGTGATGGTCTATCATGTTTCGAATATATATAACTTGAAGGTCACTGCGAAGTTGATGACGAGATGCTTCCCGTAGATGTACATTGTCTCCGTAGTTATTGTACGGTTGCAGTAACTAAGCAAGTGTAGAACCTCAAGATCCCGTCATATCCGGTAATACCCGAATCTCAGGGCACCATGCCATGTGACTTGGGTTGGATCTGACCCAAAGTCCAGGCCAGTCCAGTCCAGCCCAACCGTTCTTGTTGGTAAATGCAGAGAGAAAAGAGTCAGTCAGAATCGAACCGAATCAGTCGAGGGGCAAGCAAACAAGAAGTTAGAAAGAAGAGGCAGCGGAACCGGGGGAGGAAGCCGAATGCCTCCAAGCTACCTTAACTTTCTACCCAACCTGTGGTGGGTTAAGTTTAGTCAAGCTAGCTGAGTTAGTTTAACGTACTCCGTACTCGGTATACAGATGATTCTCTTCATCTCTCCACTTCTGATTTCCCAATTAGTCGGCAGGCAGATTGATGGGGCGCCCGCCCGGACGGAGTGCTTCATCCCGAGCCGTTTCGAATCAACCGTGGCCGACAGACAGGAAAAGATGGGAGGAGGCCCAAGCACTCGGAGACAAAGCCATCCAATTGCACACAATCCTATTCTGTTCGTTCGCCTCTCCTAACCCCCCTTCCTCTCCCCCCGCCATAACTTACTTACATGGAGTCATGGACTGTGTGCACGGTTGTTGACTAATGGTCATTCCGTCCATTGGCTGACTTGGAAATGCTAATGCTAACTCGAGTGGCTGTGTATGGCGCCTTGAACTCATTGTTGGTCCTTTCGGTCCTTTTATGAGAAGAGGCGAGAAGGTAAAGACAGGGTTATGTAGGTACACGACCTAGCTGCTTCATACATGACAGTGGTTAGCTGGAGCTCAGGCGCCGTGCTAATTACGGAGTAGCTTGGTGGCTGATCATCTCTCTGCTCTGCTAAATCCATATCATCGAACTTCAATTGCTCAATTCTCTCCCCATGAATCGGTGGAATCGGATTCGATCGGTCCCCTCGGTCGCATCTGATCATGTACCTACAGTAGTCGGATGGAGGGCAGGGGAGAGGTGGGTAAGGTAAAGCCAGTCAATGAATGAAGTCGGACATGATCAATGCTGGCTTGATGCTTTGCAGTACCCCGAATGTCCGTGCTGGGAGCACAGAGGGAAGATCTGGCCCACTTTTCCCCAGATTGTCCGGGTATGTACTCGTAATGAGGGTTTTGAATGATTCTCGCTGCTTCTTGCTTTTCCATCCATTCATTCCCCTCCCCTTGCTGGAGACTCCGGACTCAATCCAGATGCGCCATGGGGGAGAGGGATTTCCCCCGATCCGATCCTCCGACGTCATCCTCCTTCGCCTCGTCGGGGACCGTCAATCTAAAGTTCGTGGTCAGACTGATCAGAGGCGAGTGGCCGGTGGGATCACTGCCCGAGCATCTGGCCCTCTCTCTGCACTTGCTGCGACACAAAGAAAGACCAGTAGCGTGGGGTGGTGTGGCGTCCAGCTGAGCCTGAGCCGTGTCATCCCGGCATGCACGTAATACACTACATAAGACCCCGACTGGGGAGATTACCGACTTCAAACAAGAAAACACACTTCCATGCTTCCCGTATCTGGCAGTCATGCTGCTGCTGCTGCTGTTGCTGCTGCTGCTGTACTCATCCTAGATGGTGTGGGGAAACGCCTCATCGACCATACGGCCTGCTTCGACGTGTCCGGTTTTCTGGGGAGCATATACGGTAGACTCGATGTTGCCTGAGACAGATCCCACGACCAGATAGATCTCAACTGGGAATTGAAGCAGATTATCGAAAGTCGGAGGGCCCCTGCTGCAGCAAGGAATTTAACTTTCTGCTTGTGTAAGCTAAGTGGGCTGCAGGCAAGATATCTATACGAGTCTCCATCAGAAGTGCCTGTATCATGCCCGGCCCTTATCCCCGCCTCATGATCAGTGATCTGAATGTGCGCCGCAGGCAATGGAACCCACTTATTGCGCATCCTTCTCCGACAGATCCTGATTTGTCTGAGGGAGTGAGAAAGTGTCATCAGGAGACGATGGCCTCGGGGAGAAAAAAGTCCCAGCATTGCTGTTTTGTAGTGGAAAGCGATGGGAGAGACGGGGCGTGTCTGTGTGTCCTGGGAGAGAGACTGGTGAAGGGTCTGTACCACGTTGATCTTCGGTGCATTTCTCTTTTGGTCCAAGCCATGAGAGGGTCTTGGAGCCGACCGAGAGCCTCAACGGGCTCAGACCATTTGCCTCCTGTCAGTGCTCAATGGAGAGACTAAGCTTAGGTGTACGGATGCAATCCGTCGATCAGCTTCTAGCACAATTTTGTGCTTGGTGCTCAAGTTTCAGAGGGAGAGTGCAAAAGAAGAAGAAGAAAAGAAAAAAAGGAAAAGAAAAGAACCAGAATTTTGACTACCGAGAAGAGGAAGGCGAGGCAGTAAAACCCCTGACGACGCATCATCATCGCGAGGAATTGCATTTCGGACCGGGGGGGGGGGGGGCTTCCTCTCCTGGGAAATCATCCATCCACATTCATATACCACACGTACATACACACGCACACACGCATACACGCACACCAGCCATACTCGCACGCACGCACGCACGCTCCCACAAACCCCGGCCGGTCATCAGCCGGATAGTGAGGTTCCCTGCCCAAATAGGGAGAAGCAACGAGGATCATCCGCAGTGGTGGTCAACAGAACTTGATGCATGGGGACTCTGATTGGCGCACATTGCTTTTTCCAATTGTTTTGGGAGCATCCACCGATTTCAAGTTTTGATGTGTGTGCGTATGTAAGTGTGTATGCAAGTAGGGGTAGTGGGACGGACGGAAGGTACAGGCACAGGCACACAGGTACTGAGACAGGTCCAGAAACCGAGTACAGTAATAGTGAGGATAAACTGGAGGATAGTGGGGTGTGAGGGTGTGAGGGTGTGAGGGTGAGGATGAGGGTGGTGGGGGGGAGAGAGGGAAGAACTGGAAGGGCAAGAGAAGGAGAGAACCTAGGTAGTTGTTCATCGGAGTACTGAGTACGAGTACACGCTGTGCTGTACTTATTACTTAGTGTACTGTATTTACTTGCTGTACCGTAGTGTAGTGTAGTTAGGCTAGTCTAGTTCGTGGGCAAAATGATCCTAGTGAAGTTTCTCTGTCGCTTTTCTCCGTTGCGCCATGACCCAATAAGGGTCTGTCTGTACAACAACCGGCTTGGCAGCCCAACTCTTGAAGGTTAGAAACTCTTTCTCCAGGCCCGGGCTCTCTCTCCCAGGGCTGATTCTTCGATTCGTTTTTCTCTCCCCGCAGTTGGAGTTTCCCTTCCTGGGATTGAATATCTAAGTTACCGATCTACGGAGTATACTATGAAAGATGGAAATACGCCTTCAGACACAT